AACTTGGACATAGCTTCTGGTGCAGTTTTGGCACAAAGATCATGGGAGTAAGCACCACTTTTCTAATTGGATTTAAATTCCATTCCACATGGTGAAACCCATACCTAGTACCATTTTTAGTTGAAGAACCTATGTATAGATTGGCCATAGGCCCTGAGGATAAACTAGTACTATTATTATTTTTTTTTTTTGGTTTTTCGAGACAGGGTTTCTCTGTGTAGTTTTGCGCCTTTCCTGGATCTCGCTCTGTAGACCAGGCTGGCCTCGAACTCACAGAGATCCGCCTGCCTCTGCCTCCCGAGTGCTGGGATTAAAGGCGTGCGCCACCACCGCCCGGCTTACTATTATTTTGTTTAATGGCCATAGTATTAAACCATCACCAATCACTTATCATTATAACCATAGATTATTGCCTCTCTCAGTCTTCACCAGGAAAGCTTCAATTTTCAGTAGATAGTGATTAAAGCAGAGACCTACAACTGGCCAACATAAAGAAAAAAAGGCTGCAGAGTTCTCAGCCCTAAATGGAGCATATATACCATACCTTTTTCTCCCAAAGTCCAGATATCGTATAGAAAAGGAGGCAGAAAGAATGTAAGTGCCAGAAGAAATGGAAACAGTGTCTTCTGGACACTGTAATGCAACTACACATGAACTCACAGCAGTTCTGACAGCTGGCACAAGACATGGGCAAACCCAAGCCAGACCAAATCCTAGAATGGAGATGGTATGTGAGTATGAATTCTCAACCTAGAGAAGACGCTATTAGAAACTGATACCTCATGGGAGAGCCAGCTCTAAGTGTGAAGCCCCTGGTAGTTCAACCAAGCACCAGTGAATGACCACTTATCCACAAATATTTATTCAGCACAAAGTGTTCCTGATGGGGAAAAATATAAAGTGTTGGGTACATTAGAAAGAAGGGTGGATTTTGAAAGAAGTAAAGAAAGAGGGAGAATCTGATTAGAATATTGGTAAAAAAATTTTAAAGGAACTATTAAAAATAAAGAAAAAATTGGAGAGCTATAGAGGACGACACCCAACGCTGAACTCTCTCTCTCTCTCTCTCTCTCTCTCTCTCTCTCTCTCTCTCTCTCTCTCTCTCTCTCTCTCTCTCTCACACACACACACACACACACACACACACACATACACACACACACACACACCTTAACAGCACAAACAGAAGCAATGACAAACACACCCAATATAAGAATGAGGACAGTACCAGGTAGGTGGTGGTGGCACACACCTTTAATTCCAGCACTCGGGAGGTGGAGGTAGGTGGATTTCTGTCTCAAAAAAAAAAAAAGCACTTGAATAAGTTACTTAACTGACTACATGTAAAAGGGTTAAGTTTAACTATAGAGATAGACTTTTAGTTGCTCCCACAGGCCGAACTCAGCAGCATGATGTTTTAGAAATTTAAGGATACACAAAAAGTGGTGAAGTACTTATGAGTTAAAATACATTTTGCTGAAAGATATGTTGAACCTTAATCCCTCATACCTTGACAATTCCCTTATTTGGAAATTGTCCTTTGCAGAAAACATCAAGATGAAGTCATTAAGGTGAGGTAATACAGTCAGAATAGTGTACTCTAGGCAGAGAAGAGAATGTACATAAAGACACAGGGAAGAACATTGTGTTTTGTAGCTCAGTCTCAGATATCCTGGATATACAGCTTCTAAATTCCTGCTCCTTTAGTCTTTCCAACCTCCGATTGCTACAACTTTAGAAAATTGATACAAGAATACAACCTAACCATCCAGATGGAAAGCTCAAAATACAGAATCACACAAAGTAAAATTCAAGGTTAAAATAGCAAATGTAATATTATATTTTATAACATTTACAGTTCTCCAGTTTAGACAACTTGCTGAAAGATAGAAACACAGGCACTTATCCCATGCACTACACTTCTAGGACGTAGCTCCTGCATTTGTTACTGGTAATTCTGTGATATTCACAGTGTTTCTCAATATTTCTGCCTTTCCACACCTGTAGAATGGAAGTGGTGAGAATATTCACATAATACTCATGAATAATAAATAAACTTGTATGCAAAATGTTTGAGATAACAACTATCAAAAATACTAAAATGGAATTGGGTGTTATTTTTAATCTAAAGATAAAGGAACATTCAAGGAAAAAAATAAGACATACCCATAGTACACAAACACACATGTTGTAAAACACTCATACACATACAAAAAGAACAAATACATCTTAAACAATTCATAGACTCACTCCCACCAGGGAAAACTTTACATATTTTAGAATACTCAGGAATGGACATCTAAACCTTCTATCATGAAAGCAGTTCCAAAGAGGGTGTATATATGTTTCAATCTGCCATCCATTTAATGCCAAACATAGCTCTATGCACACAGGAGAAAACACTCTGCCTGGGTGGGAATCATTGTTCCAGAACTGAGAGAAATTCTTAATAAGATCTTGAAAGGAGTTTTACAGTTCTCACCCTCTCAGTACAGCTGGAAATTTAAGAAGGAGAACAAAACTAACTGAACTATTTCAATATTGAGGCACTGACTTCAAAACAGTCTTCATATGCTCCTGCTTTCCTCGGGCTTCTCCTGGTAACACATGACAACTAAGCAGTTAATGTTTATAAGACGGTACCTGTCAGAGAACGGCCAAGACGTCCACCACCCAGCATTTTCCTAAATCAGTGCCTCTAAGATCAGGAGGTGACATCTCCTGAGGGGATTTTTGGAAGCAAGTATATCTGTCTATAAGTACGCACTTTAAACTATGCTTCTGGACTGTAGGGTTTGAGGTAAAGGACTATAAATGTTCTGCAGAGTTGAGGGTAAGACTCAATGTTGAACTGCATATTCAGATGCCAGGGAAGTTTTTGCTCACAGACCACTTTACCAGTGAGCTCTGGATAAGAAGTATACAATGCTTTTGATACTTCTCTTTCTAAAAATGTGAATATATAAAGAAAATAATGCAAACCTAGAATGCAACTTGATCTTCATGTTTCCACAAGAGCCAAATTCAATAACTTTCTTTACTCTTAATGTCAATCTAAAAACATATTAGAGCATTTAGATATTTCACCAGACATCACTTTTCTCATATTCTGACTCAAAATAAAATTTGCACTGTCCATTTGCAGAACAGACTTCATAATAGCAAATCTATGTTTGCTATTGTGGTTGCATTAGCTGAGGTAACATTTCAGTGAACTCAGCAAACCAAACTCACGTTTCTAGAAATCATTTGTTGCTTCTTCTTGAACTATGTCATAGGCCACTTTCACATAAAAAAATAGAGTGATCTGATAGTGATTCTTAATATTTCTGATGATGCGGAGTAAGTATCTATGTCTTGGTGTGAGAATCAAGGGGTCTGGCTTTTCGCTGTGACTGCTGGTTTACAAGTTTGCTGCCCTGTGCTTGTTGACCTGTAGCTGTTCTCTCTGCATTGACACAATTCCTCTTGGACAGAGACCCATAAGACTCAGGAACCAAACTCAACCGCCCAAGTCTCTGAAAGCTCCTATAGTGTATAAGACTTATACTGCCCCTTCCCCACCAAGGGTTATACAAGCTGTATCCATTTTTGATGAGAGAAAGAGAGTGGGGATGGAGGGAGAGAGGGAGGAAGGAGGGAGGGAGAGAGACAGAGACAGAGAGTCCTCTGGCTGGGGCGCAAATCATGCAGGGAGCTCCAGGTATGCAGCTTTCCTAGATCATCACCCCTGCTGGTGTGGGCTTTTCAGCGATGCGGCTGCTCATGAGTCCACAATACTCCTGTGAATGACCCTGCATCCACACTCCTGCAGCCCTGATCAACTCGCTGATCAGCTAAGATAGACTTGGACAAAATTGCCCCTTTGGTATGTCATCAGTGACAGATCTTGGGTGAACAAATGTTTTTATTTCTTTGTTTATCTGTATTTTTTCACATTTCCATAGGAAAAGATACAAATTTTCGTCAATAAAACTGGGTATTTGTCATCTATGTCTTAAAGGGTTGTGAAACGGAGTAAGCAAAACCTACCAAAGTGCCCTGGGATGTGCTCTGGCTTCCTGTCTTTAGCCACAGTCCCCCCTCTTGCTCTTCCAGCTTCAATGGCTTCTTTGTTGCTTCACTGTGGCAGTTCTAATGTCTGACTACCTTTCCTTGCTCTGCCCTGGTATGCTAAGAGTACATGCTTTTGCCCCTCAGTTCCTTCAGGTTTCAGCTCAAGTATCCCTGGGAAGAGATAGTCACAGGCCACTGTATGAACCACAAGTCTCCCAACTTCCTCTAAGACTTTCTTTCTCATATACTAATGGTATAACACATTATCTCCTACTTCTGCACTAAAATATAATTTCAAGGAAGACAGAAAATTTTGTTATTATTTTCTTTAGCAATTGTATTCTAATACAAATGTAGAGATTTTTCTCAGTCAGTCCATATGAAATTTTCTAATATACACACTTAGTTACAAAGCTGGCATCTCTACATTTTACTGACATATATGAAATCATGTAAGGAGTTTCAATTATTTATGAAATATATATTCAGATGCATATCTCTCCTTGAGACCTATGATAATTGATAAGTTATGCTTCAAAAGTTGTATCATTTTTCCAACTTTGATCTTGATTATCCTAATTCTAACATATTCAAGCACATAATATTCATGTTTCTCCAAAAAGAAAGACTATGTACCCCTTTTAAAGTGACAGTGTTTGCTCATTGTAAGCAATATGTTCCATTTCCCGTCTTCATTCTATGACACCCCAACTAGGCTGGCAGTACAGTGTAATTTACCACGATAAAATTCTATTAAAGTCTGTCCTGGGTTATATTTTTTTATCGTCTGTCTACTGTAGTGCAATATGATAGAATTTAACAGTAGGTAATTATTCATGTTTTTATAATAATAATTACCAGGTAACCATTCAGTGTAGGCCTTTATTAATGATGGCTGTTTCTATTTTTATTTACAGGAAAATAAAACAGGGAATGTTACTTACATTTAGAGCCTGATGAAGATGACCCACCAACAGTAGATCTGGACCCCCCTTTCATGGAAAAGACGCCTTTTCCCCTGCGAGTGGTGGTGAGAGCCACTCTGGGACGCTTCAGTGGGATGACAGCTCGAGGAGGCGGAGGCACACGTCCATGGTAATCAAACAGCCTTCACAAACACAAGTGGTTGAGAGTCACTAAGATGCTAAACTTTCTATGAGACACATGGAGTTATTCAGAGAGCGTGCTGGAAAAATTTTGCAGCAAGCATGTTTTTGCACTTGTTTACTATTCAGACAAGGTATTTATTAATGAGTCAGTTTATTTTTCAGAAAGCAACAGGATGCTCTTTCTGGATGTTAGAATTTGACCTGACTCTGAACTTTTGTAATATAGGAAAGGAGCTTTGCTCTGATAGCAATACGAAATTTGCCAAATTCAGCCGACCTTGGCCTTTGATACATTTCTTTGCTTGAGTAAACAAATTTACCCTAATATTAAGCATATATTTTGGGCACTTATACATACATTGGGCACTTATTAAATTAAATTTAGAGTGGAATGGTTACACATAATCATGAGCAAAACAGCAAAAAAAAAAATTCCTTAGTGTAAAGGGAAAAAGTAGAAGTAAAACCAGCTTAAGAAGAAAGTATAGGAACCATATTGAATGGTGCCCATCTTTTCACGGTGTTTAATCAGGGGCCCCTCTGACTGAGGCTGAGTTTAAAGAAAACAGAGCTAACACAAGGGTACAAATGTGTTGAATGAAACACTAGAGGGAACCGATAATTAGAACAATTTGTTCTTCTGAGTGCTTTCCAGCTATGAAAATTGAAATAGAGATGTTTGTAGAGTAAGTTAGTAAAATGTGTTCTAACTAAAAAGAAAATCAGCCGGGCGGTGGTGGCGCACGCCTTTAATCCCAGCACTCGGGAGGCAGAGCCAGGCAGATCTCTGTGAGTTCGAGGCCAGCCTGGACTACCAAGTGAGTTCCAGGAAAGGCGCAAAGCTACACAGAGAAACCCTGTCTCGAAAAACCAAAAAAAAAAAAAAAAAAAAAAAAAAAAACTAAAAAGAAAATCAGTAAGTTCCTTACTATGACTAAAAGAAAAGCTGATATTAACCACAGCAATGTATTTCCACTAAATAGCGAAAGGAATAAAGGAATATGGATGTTAGCTCACATATGGAAATATGCCATTCAGAGATTTAAATGATTCATATCATCTCTTCTGCAAACTCATATGTACCAACATTTTATATGATAGCATATTTGAAAAGTGTAACTGCTTTGGGATAAAATGCTGAGTTATATTTACTCATTTATTTTTTAGAACTATTTGCTAACAAATAAAGATATGTAATTATGTTGCCCAGAACAAAAGAAAAGGCATTATTAATTTATATTATGGTTGTTATATATTTTCTTTTGACACTATTACATGAAGTTTAGTTTTGTAATTGATTTATAGCAGTCAATAAATAAATCAATTTAAAATCCAGAGAATCAAACAACATAAAATTCAGAGAAGAGAAACAGGAAGGAAATAATAAAAAAAAATTCTACAAGAAACTATTTCATAGAAGTGTATCTTGTGTACATATACTTCTGAAAATGTTATAATCTCTTTTGGAAAAATAATATAGGAAACATAATAAAATATAAATGGTTTTCAATAGTTTGTTAAAAAATATTTATAGCTATTTCATAATAAGATAAAAGGATAAAAATTAAGTTTAAAAGGAACCTTTTAATATAAAAATCATCTCCTACATGTCTAGAAAGAAAAAAAAGTCAGTGGCAGAGGTCAATGGAGGCCCCATCCTGTGTGAACTGGCAAAGTCCAAGAGAGTGGAGGACCTGCTGGCAAAGAGCAGTAGATGTCAGCACACAAGGGTTTCTTTCAAAGTCCACAGCTGGATGAGGCAGAAATGGTTATGAATACAATCCACACCAATAGAGAATAGAAAATCAGAAGGGTCAAGAAAATCTGCCCCTCATTTCAATCACAAAACAAATATACATTAGTTATTTATAAGATGAATTCAAAGAGGTCCCTAAGTCAGTGGGCCAAACTATAATACCCAAGACTAGCAAGAGGAAGAAAATACAACATTTGACTCATCTCTTCAGATCAGAAATTACCATTTGAGGTAAAAGGTTCCCCTTGTTTTTCATGTGCATTGAAGAGGTTCATTAAGTAAGCAAACCTATTCATTGGGTAAAGAAAATCCACAGAGCACAATGTCTCTGGGTATTCAGAGAGATGAGAATTCTAGTGGATGTGCTGAGAAAATAAACTGCCACATTCATTGTTAATCTAAGTACAATGCCCTTTAACCTTTAAAGACACTTTCTAGGTCACTGAAACATTTGTCAATATGTTGTTACACTCTACAGGCTGTGTTCCAGAACCTTTGTCTGGTGTTGGGCTTCCCAGGCCCCATCTCTCAATGTCCAGTGGCTTTCTTGATCAAAGAATCAGGTGGGATATTCATCAGTTCCTTCTGCTACTCTGATGTGACTGTGGGAAGCATTAGAGCTTAAATGTTTTAATGACATACATAACACAAAAACAAGATGGAAAAAAAGGCATGGGCACTTCAAATATGAACAAATTTCTATTTTTATAATATTTAATGGAATATTAAATGGAAAGTGGAAGCTGTCTTAAATATCATTGGGTACACTTGAGTTTATCAGAAATGCAAGGAAGGAAGCTGAGCATGGCTCTAATGCATAAAATGTAACAGGCCAAGTGAGAAGGGGTCAGTTTTCTGGGCTTCAGGGACGGACTTGAGTTTCTAAATGCAGAAGGAAGTGATGGGGAGGGGGAGAAGATAGCTTAGTTTTTTTCATCAGAATTCACGCTACAGTAAATTAAATTAGTTTATCTTTATAAATAGCAGTGGGAGTAAGGACAGCTCATTTGAGATTATAGGCTGTCTATGAAAATTACAGTCAAGCACGATGGAATGAAAGCAAATTTTCAAAGGTTGGCTAAAGTCTTCAAATTGTTTTTGTTGTCATTATTTTATTTTACTCATTCTTACAATTATATCTCTACTTTTTTCCTTTGGGTGTTCTTAGTTTTCCCTAATAGTGCTTATTCAGAAAAAAATCCTTCTGATACTTGTTTAATAGATAATGGTTATTACGAAGCCAAGCATATATCTTCCCTTTCCCAAAGTTAATTTTAAAATGAATGCTCAAAGAACCTTCCCTCTATGTGTCAATGAAAGAAATGTAGCGAGAGTTAGTATTATTGCAGCCCTCAGAAGAATTTTGAAGGATTTTTTTTTTCATTTCAGAAACATTTAAAATTATATTTTTTGTGTTTGACTTTTTTCTTTTTAAAGAAAAGTTAAAAACCTAGCAAAAGTTAAAAACTGATAAGCCTAATTTTAATACTTATTTATTTGATGAAGTGGTCGTAGCTTGTCTCTTAGACGAAGGCTATTAATTTTCATCCTTATCCTTAAAGCAGGTGTGTTATGTATAAAAGTAAATTAGTGCCATATTAACATAAACACAGAAAGTGATTATAATTTTTATTACTTTGAGAATATTTATTACTAGGCTTTAACAATAATTGTGTTTTGGGAAAATACATGAACAAAGCCCTATATTTATTCAACAAAACAAACTCTGTCATCAAAGTTTTCCCTTTAGCCATCTCTACCTTCTTTTACATAACCAAAACTACAGTATATATATATATAGACATGCACAAAGGTTGTGTCTATTTGGTATATTAAAAAGGCTTTTAACCTTCCTAAATGATTGTCTTCATATTCAATTGGTATGATTTATTTATTTTTCCAGTAGAAGCTCTACTAAAGGCCAATTTGTTGGATTTCTTCTTCTTTTTTTATTTTTTTGACCTAATGCTTATTTTTTGCAAATAAAGAGTATGATTTCAAAAATCACAGGAAAGATTGAATATTGCAAGTTTGATATGTGATATATTTTATAACCATGTAGTAAATTTTCTTTCAATAATAATTTTAAGAACTTTTTAATAAATATCCATTTGGTCCTTAATTTCCCTTTTAAAATACTTACTTTTTTTCTCTATTCATGAATCAAACTTATTATTTCTATGTAGTTACTGCTAACAGAATCTTTACTATGGAGTAGAAGCTGTGAAGAGGCTGGCCTCTACCCAAGATGTTCTGGCAATATATGTGTATAACAAGCAAACAGAAAACTATCTTTGCTTTGTCCTATTTCATCCCTAAACTCTACTTTCAGCATGCTTGACTCCCAACGGAGTAGAATCCATTAAACAACTTAAAATGTCCACTTTATATATAAGATCTACATACAAATTCAGAACAAATTATTCTTAAAAGTCATCAGGATTTTGACAATTCCATTGCTTTTATTTGATTTTTAATTAATAAACTTTTCTACGGTTTTCAGTTAAGTTTCTTTCTTGTTCATATGCAAATATTTCTTGACCATGCTTTCAAAGGCAATTGGCTGCAAATCAGAATAATCATTTCTGAAAGATTTTTTACTTTAGTATAATCAACATTGCTATCTGCTATCTGCTTTACTTCACATGAAATTTTTAAATAATTAAACAATATGTCCATCTGGTCATTTGTGGTAAAAAGAAAAAACACTAAACTTGTTTAATTCTACTTCTGACTTGCTAAGGTTGGAGTTTTAAGCCATTTTGTTCATGAAAAAAAAAAAGAAAACATAGAAGAGGCAATTTCTCAAAATTAACCTGTTGACACATGTACATCTAGATGTTAAGTTCACATCTTCTCACTCAAACCATGTCCTTGCCAACCACACACACTATTATTTCTGCACTTACAAATTAGGATACTATTCTGTCATACTATTCTGTCACTTGGTAATTTAAGTTTGCATATGAGAAAGACATTATTCCTTGGTAACACATTTTCCAGTATCATGAATATATGCTGTATTCTGTAATTAACTAAAAGATCAATAACTTTTCTTTAGTGTATTAATACCAGGTCTGAATGTCCCAGCATTGAACAATGCCCATTTTGAATCACTTTAACAATATACAAGTTGTTCTACATCCTGAAACATCCATGACATTTCTGTTTTTCTAACAGAACTTTACTCTTCACCAGCATTTTTAAAGTACTGGGTGGTTTTTCTTGTGGGACTGAAGTAAGGATTGGACTAAACTGCCAGTTTCTCAGAGATTGAAGGCATTTTCTGGAGTACTCAGCGTACTTGAGGCAAATCTCTTTTTAATTTTCTCGATACCATATCGAAGTCCATGCATGGTTCTCATACTATACAATAGCCTGCACTCAGCTATACCAACTTTTTTAAAAAACAAAATACCACTGAAGGCTGGAAAATAGCTAGTGAACACTGCTTTTTGTATTATAATGTAATACTCAGAATAATTATGAGATAAAGCTATGTATGAGCCCAAATCATTCAATTACATTAACATCATCAAACATGCAGAAGTAAGATAGGAATATGAACATCTGTGTGTCACATATGAAGCTATTCCTTCTAAAGGGAGACCTTCCTTTAGCTCCATGTGGGTTTGGGCCATGTTTCTGCACAGTGAGAATCTGGCTTCCTGTTCTACTCAGTATATTAGAAGGAAAATTCAAGAGGGACCAAGAAAATAGACATTTTATTAGGCTTCCCATTATTATTATTATTATTGTTGTTGTTTATTGTTGTTGTTATTACCCCAGCTATGTTTCTTTACCCTGGCAATCACAATTTATTCCAATAGCAACAGAAGAATCTAGTTGGTAGAACTTGCAGCATTTGCTCCTTCACACTCTGCCTAAGACAACCATACCAGTAACCAAGGTCTCCTCCTCAGCAATCTGAGTTCCAGGTACACAGAGGTACAATGGCACAGGCTGAGCAGAAATTTTTACTCATAATTTCAGCTCAGTGAGGCCCCTTTTCTACAGTGAATTTTAATAACAGCAAGTGCCCTGCTTCTTGCAATTGTCAATTCCATTATGCTAAAATGTTTTTGTCCTTTCAGATTCCCAATTCTTATTTAGCAAGTTTTTTTTTTAATACAATTATCTCCGCTAAACATAACCAGTATGTTTTCTTGCTTTTCTTAAACAAAGAATCTTGGTCTTAGAAAATAACCAAATGTCCACTATCTCTCTGCAGATGTGTTGAGCCACAGCTGAAATGCTACTCAAAGGTATAAGAATGGTCTATTATGAAAGAACTACTGTGCCACTATCTTATTCTCCATATATATATATATATATATATATATATATATATATATATATATAACTACATAAATTCCTACCTTACAACACAAAATTCATCTTAATAGAAACTCATTAAGTATACAATGAAATACTAAGAAAAGGGACTAAGGCAAAGACATTTTGATATACCATTAAATAGCACATACAAGCTGAAAATTTATTCAGAATGATTAACATGTTTTGAATCCTAAAAAAATTCCAACAGGAAATGGTTATGAAACTATTAAAAGCTAAGGTTTTCAGTAAATGTGAAGACTATCTTCATGCGGTCTATTCTTAGTAGGGGATGGGGTTGTTTTAATGCTGGCATTGAAGGCATTGCTTGCAGAGCACATTATTATAAGCTACTAAATGTTGAAAATAAAACCTAATATACTGCCATTATAAAATAATTTGAGGGAATCATTTTTTTTTAGAATTAGCTTTTGTCTATAGAAGGAACTAGAGATAAGTAGCTTTTCCAGCTCTGTGAAGTATATCCTCAGATCTGGTACCCTACACAGGCATTAACCCCACATACAAGCTGGAGCTATTTTTGCTCCCTTGTGAATTTCCACGTAGTCTGTTGTGGCATTAGAACGAATGACCAAGCTATGAGGTTGCCTCTGTCTGTAATGAACAAAAGGGCCCTGCATCTTAAATGAGATTACTAACTTCACAACTTAAATATCCATTATAGCCAAGCACAAGTTAACATCACTGTTGTGCTCATGCCGAAAGGGAGGCAGACATGATCAGACCTCACTTTGCAGAAGGAGCTATAGCAATACAAGTAAGTGTGGGGAGGGAGCTGTTCCAGGTGTGAGAGCTCCCAGGGAACCTGATTCAGTCTGGGAGTAGTCTTCCTCCTGTGCTCTGAGACATGAAGTCAAGTGAAGAAGGTGGTTGGAGGTCTTAAGAGATGGGACAGCACACAGAAAGGACCAAACAGTTGTAGAACTGAAAATGTATTCAGAAGTGGGAAGGAAACTCTCAAGGGATCACTGGCTCCTTTGCCCTACATGATCTATTAAAAACCTTTCCCCAGGTTTTTATATAAGTCCTTGGACTCCCTTGTTTTACTAGTACTTGTAATTAAAGTCTGAGGAAAATATTAATGTCATTTATACATCCATTCATTTGTTTATTCCAATTGTCACATACAGGTTTTTTATTTGTTTGTTTTGTGCGTGCGCGTGTATGTGTTCATGAATTTCTTTGTCAACAATTAGATGCATAAACCAGTTTTCTAAAATAAAGTTAAATTTCTGATGCCATTACATTTTATAAGTAACCTGTCATTAACAACCCCAAGTACAGATTTTATTATACAAATAAGTTCCGTCAAAACATGAGGAGGATGGTGGCTGCTGACTGGACTCTGTTTACATAGAGACAGCAATCAGGTATCTACAATGTACCCTATGTTTGTGGCACTTAACAAAAACATGTAATTGAAAGAAAGAATTGGTGCTGTAAATAACTTCAGAATCATAACATTGAAAATAAATTCAAACAAAATGTAAATGAGTATATCAAAGAAACAGTAGAGCAAAGATGTGTTAGCATGCCCCTTGAAAACATCAAGATGTAGATGCAGTAAAATGAATGAAATGATTCTTTCTGCCATCTATAAGATAAGTGTATATGATGTGAGGAAGATAATGAAGCTATGGGAAGGAAGTGATGCTGCCACAGAACTGCATGTGGAAAGAACTTGAGGAGAGACTGTGCACAATTTCAATGAGACACTGAGACTGATTTATCCTCAAAAAGAACCATAGTGGCTCACAGAGCACAAGGCAGGTGCTTGTTCCAGATCCTAAGTCACCTGATGAAAGGACACAAGTTTGTACTCCGGAATGATTTTGATACATCTTATGTAAAGACATGAATCAAATTCTCAATACTGTTATTGTTCTAAAGGATAAGATGATAAATAATTGTCATTTGTCCATGTACTTTTAGTACAGAGAGTCAAATGATTTGTACAGTTCTCTTAACGTTCTGGTTCTAATAAATTCAATGTATCACAGAGGCAGATGAACTTTAGATTTTGTTGCCTGCTTGCCTGCCTACCTGCCTTCCTTCCTCCCTCCCTCCCTCCCTCATTCCTTCTTCCCTCCCTCCCTTCCTTTCCCTTCCTTCCTTCCTCCCTCCCTCCCTCCCTCCCTCTCTCCCTCCCTTCTTTTCCTTCCTTCCTTCCTTCCTTCCTCCCTCCCTTCTTTTCTTCCTTCCTCTCTCCCTCCCTCCCTTCCTCCCTCCCTCCCTCCCTCCCTCCCTCCCTCCCTCCCTTCCTCCTTCTCTCTCTCTCTCTTTCTTTCTTTTGGAGTCATAATAATGCTCAGCTTTGAGAATTCTAAGTCAAGTGATCTGGAAAATAATTAGATGTTTAAAATGTTATTCAACACTACCAACAAAATTTTAGGGTTAGGCAACTCTTATCCTCAAATCTAATTGCAAGATCTACTGGATGTCAATAAATATAACAAAATTAGAATATATATATATCTATGGTACAGCTGTAGAAACTTTACATTTTAAATCTGTAGTCACAAAATGTTATTTCAAGCATTTTAATTAATAGCATCAGTAAATGAAATACATATAATAGAGCATAATACAAATTATAAAGAACAAGGTTGAGAAATTCACATACCGATTGTAGAAATCATCTCTGTAGTAATCATAGTCAAAGACATAACCACTAAGGATAGAAAAAAAATAGTCAACATGTATTTAAGCCATGCTCATTTTAATATTAATTTTTGATTTTATAGCAAGGAATCAATGTTATTTTATATCAACATACTTTAATGGTATTATGTTTATAAAAGGCATTATAAGATAGTTTTAATTTTCATATACTGTATCAGACTATCATTACAGATTGGTAATTTAGGGTATTAAAATGGGACCAACAGACGCATCTCAGTGAGGAAGCCATAATAGCCATCTCTCTAAAGAATATGCAGTGAGAACTGCCTACATATATTTGGATAGTGGTCTTTTGTAAGGCACTTTATACGAATTTTTGTTATAGTCATCAAAACTACTCTGATGTATAAGATAACTAATCTATTAAACACTCAAGATGTTGATTGAATTCTTATCACTACCAAGTGTCAGGGGAATGTTTTGATGCTAAGACTGAATCCACATCTGGAGCCATTTTTTTTCCTTTTCAATATTCTCAACCATAACAAATCTAAATTCTATAGTTTATGGAATACCTACAATAATTTTTACTGTGTACTCGTTAATTTAATTGTGGTAAAACACACAGAGCATGAAAATTGTCAGTTTTAGTAATTTTAGCTATACTTTGGGTGTACCATCCAATATACAATTTTAACCATATCACGTATTCCATTTAATAGCATTAAATGGATTCATAAAGTTGTATAAAGATCGTCACTGTGTATTCCAATTCCAGATTCTATTTTCCACCTCCCTCTGCCTTAATGACCTCTATTCCACCTTCTGTCTATAAAACTGTCTATTTTAGGTACCTCATAAATTGTGAGTCACAGCTAGGTATCATATAATTATGTAATCATAGCTTTCCTTTCTGTCTGATTTATTTCTCTTAGTATATTTAAAACTTACCTATTATGTATTAGGCATCAGAATTGCATTCTTTTCTAAGTTTGAGTCTTAAATCAATTTTTATCTGTTTATTCTTTTGCTGGTAAATATTAGAGTTGTTTCTGTAATTTTGTTATGGTAAATAATGGTGCTGTGATATCTTGTGTGGATTATCAATATACTTCCTTTCATTTTCATTGTGTGTATATGTAAAAGCCAAGTTCCTGGGTCACATTATAATTCAGTGTTTAACTGATTGCAGAACCTCTTATGACAGAAGGGTAATTTTATATTTCCAAATCAACTTAGCAGTCATTTACTTTGTAACTATTCTCAAACCAGAAAAGCTGAGAACCCTGTATTAAGATGGAATTGTAATTCTTGGTTTTAAGAACAAATGCATGCGTGCCTCCTCAGAATACTGAATACAGAAGGAAAAAGCTTGATATAGCATATCTAGCCTATGACAGTTCTGTCTCCAGTGATACCTAATATAACACAGGGTATACAAGTTGAAGTTCTGAGAAATTAAGAAAAAACCTAGTTCACAGAAGCATCTGATTACAAGATTGCACATTTCTTATTCCTGGTCACAGGTGTGCCATCTCTGTAAGCACAGAAGATCAATGCAATCATTGCCTAAAGAGTGAAAAACAAAATGAAAAAACTCACCTTTATTTGTTAGTACAGACTATTAAAATGGAATGGTGTATGCTGTAGTTTATATTACTTGCATAGACATGACTGTATTGTTGAACTGAGGGATTATTAAAACAACCAACTGGTTTCCACCAAACTCTGGGCATAAACCTCTCCTGAGACCTTCCTAATGTAACAATGTATAACTTTCTTCCATTGGATAGCAAGTTTCCATGGTAACCTGAAGACTGACATACTTGCCAAAAGCTTTAACTGAGAAATCATGTTTAAGATTAGACTGATTGGGGCTGGAGAGATGGCTCAGAGGTTAAGAGCACTGACTGCACTTCCGGAGGTCTTGAGTTCAATTCCCAGCAACCACATGGTGGCTCACAACCATCTGTAATGAGATCTGGTGCCCTCTTCTGTATACATTATAAATAAATAAATTTAAAAAAAAAAGATTAGACTGATTGCTTACAGTTATCATGTGTGTCTGTGTTTGATGATTTTTAAGATGTTGATATATATTCAATAGAATTGATATTTGGATAACATCAATGAGGTTCCCCAAATCAAATGCAATAGAAAGAAAAAACCAAGCATATCATTTTAAGAACTTCGCATGGAATATGTTTGTAAACCAATGACCTGGAAAGGGAAATACTCTAATTTAAATAGATTTTCTTTGTACTTTATGCACATAGTCTCATTTAGTCTTCACTACGCATAAAAGATATAGAGATCTCTCTTCAAAATTTGATAAAGAACATGGCATCATGAACCGAATGAGGCACTTGGGCTCAGAAGTTATAATTTCTATCTATGACTACATTTCAATATGGTTGCATCAAGATGACCTCAATTTCCTGTCAGCTTTGCTAAACTTCAGTCAAGTTTCCTCTGGACTCCAGACCCCTGACCTCTGGTTTTACTTTAGGAAACTTACATAGTCAATGCATCTCTACTCGTCTGAGATGTAAATGCAAAATTCTTCCAGCTTTACAACTAAGGAACAGTTTTCTTGAGAACATGGGAAAATTCCTTTGAAATAAAATTATCAATAAAGATACCTCCTGAATGAAACTCCACTCTGTCCTTATCTCCCTTCCTGCTTCTGATGGTCACTATTATTTTGCTATATTGCTTTAGAATTATTTTGCTATAGAATTATATTTTGCTACATATTGCTATAGAATTAACATTTTTATCTTCCACATACAAAAGGAGTTTATACCAGCAGGAATTCTACAGCAACTGTTCTTAAATTTTTTCCACTTGAAACCCCTTTTCACCCTAAAAATTTTGTATGATGTGGTTATATGGGTATATAAAATATATCTATACATGAAATATATATTGATAAGATATAATAAAAATATTTTAGAACAATTATTTAGTATGCATCTAATTTTACTATTTATTACTATTAATTTGTGTGCCAATGAGATTCATGTGCACATTTGCTTTGGCATAAGAAATTAAATCCTAACTGAATATTTCATATTGCAGGATAATAATATTTTCAGCATTTTCTTAGGTGATCAATATTTTAATTTGTACTCATCAATACTTAGAATTCAGATTCAAATCAAAGTTGCAGACATATGTTTATGGCCATTTCAGATAGGTTTTTTAAATTCTGTACTAATACCAAACCAAATTTAATTAAATGACATTCTATAGAGCTCAGATCATAACCTCAAGGGGCAATTTTTGGTATCAAATATTCTAAAGATAATATAATAAAAAAGACATATTTATTTGATATGTGCTAAAAAATTATTGTGATGATATTTTATTTGTGCTCTAACAAATAAAGCTTAAGTGAAAATAAAAGAAAAAGCCAGTCACTATATTAAACATAAAGGTCAGACAGTGTCTTGGGAGGCAGAGGTAGGTGGATCTCATTGAGTTTGAGGGCAGCCTGGTCTACAAAGTGAGATCCAGGATAGACAGGACACAGAGAAACTCTGTTTCAACAAAACAAACAAGCAAACAAAAAGTGTGTGCTACCACTGCCTGACCTCTATGTTTAATATAGTGGCTGGCTTTTTCCTTTGATGCCCAGGCAAGCTTTATTTGTTAGAGCACAAATCAAATAACACCACAAGTGATGATTTGAAGATTTTATTTATTTATTTATTTATTTATTTATTTATTTTTTACAAAATTAAGCCATTACACTTTTATTTATTTGTTTTAGGGTGAATCATATTCCTGGCTCATTTACTCTGATTTGTTTTTTATATATTATGTTTTATTTATATATTAATTAAACTTTTTCACTTATTTTCATCCCAACCACAGTTTCCCTTCCCTCCTCTCTTTCCATACTCTTCCACTGCTCCTCTACACCCCATAATCATCCACTCCTCCTTCATCTACATTCAAAAAGGCTGAAGCCTCCTGTAGGCAGGAACAAAATATAGCATATCAAGTTGAGACAGGTCTAAGCTCCTCCCCCTGCACCAAGGCTGGGCAAGGCAACCCAGCATGGGGAATAGAGCCAGGGACAGGTCCTGATCCCACTGCTAGGGGCCCCACAAACAGACCAAGTACACAACTGACACACACGTGCAGTGGACCTAGGTAAATCCCATACAGGCTCCCCAGCTGTCAATCCAGAGTCCATGAGTTCCCAGAAGCTTGGGCCAGCTGTCTCTGTGGATTTCTCCATCAGGACCTTGATTTCTCTGGCTCACACCATCCCCCCTCCCTCTCTTCAACAGGCCGGGGGCGGTCGTTTTTGGCTGTGAATCTCTGCATCTGCTTGCTTCAGTTACTGGGTGATGATTCTCTGAGAACAATTAGGGTAGTCACCAATCTGATTATAGTAGATGGCCAGTTCAGGCACCCTCTCCACTATTGTTAGGAGTCTTAGCTGGAGTCATCCTTCTGGATTCCTGGGAGTTTCCCTGGCATTAGGCTTTTCCCTAACCCCGAAATACCTGTACCCATTGAGACATCTTTCATTACACTCCCTCTCAGTCTCATGTTCAACCTGTCCAACCCCATCCCTCATGGCCCCTCCCCGCTAAAAAAAAAAAAAGAAAAGATCACCTGGGAAAATAAAAGAGATCACTGGACTAACGGCAGGAGTGCAAACTTGTTCAGCCACTTTGGAAACAATGTGGCAGTTTCTTAAAAAATTGGAAATTGCCGGGCGGTGGTGGCGCACGCCTTTAATCCCAGCACTCGGGAGGCAGAGCCAGGCGGATCTCTGTGAGTTCGAGGCCAGCCTGGACTACCAAGTGAGTTCCAGGAAAGGCGCAAAGCTACACAGAGAAACCCTGTCTCGAAAAACCAAAAAAAAAAAAAAAAAAAAAAAAAAAAAAAAAAAAAATTGGAAATTGACCTATCTCAAGACCCAGCTATAGCATTTCAATGCCCAAAATATGCTCCATCCTATCACAAAGACACTTGTTCAACTATGTTCATAGCTGCTTTAGTCATTATTGCCAGAATCTGGAAACAACC